GGTGCAACCATTATGGAAATCAGTGTGGAGACTCCTTAGAAAAGTTGGACTGGAAATCCCATTTAAACCAGCTATTCCTCTACTGGGAATTTTCCCAAAGGATCTGAAATCATCATATCATAGGGATATATGTGTGCCTACGCTTATAGCAGCACAATTTTGTGATAGCCAAATCTTGGAAACAACCAAGATGCCCATCACCTGAGGAGTGGATGAAGAAAATGTGGTATTTTTACACAATGGAGTATTACTCGGCTATAAAGAATGATAAACTTGAAGCCTTTATATTGAAGTGGATGCCCCTTGAAGATACACTCATAAGTGAAATAAACCAGACACACATATGTAAATATCATATAGTTTCCCTAGTATAATATCTCAAAAGAAGAAATACAAATAGAAACGTATAATACAAGTAAAAGGAAAGCAGGAACTCGAAGACTAATTAAGAGAGGGAAAGAAGCGCTAAGAAACATGACAGTGATAAGCCATACAGTTATATGTACAAGATGGGCAAGGTAATGATCCTGAGAATCTCCAGAAGATTTTTGAATCTAGCAGTTAATTGGAAAGATTCTCACCCTCACTAACTATATATACTGATACCTGTGAACTAAGCAAGTGCACTGAAGATGGTAATCTCTAATAGTAGTTTCATGCCTGGAGTGCCTGTCATTCTGGTCTTCTCAATACGGGCTGCTTGTCATGACATGCCAGTTGCTGCTGTGCTGTCTCTTGCATAGATGATTGTTCAAAAGGAAGGGGGTGGTGAATGAAGGCAAGAGACAGGAAAAGGAATATTGTGGGACTGTCCTACTTCAAGGTTGTATATGGTTAGATTTTTGGACTTACATTTAAACATAAGAATTATATAATTTGTTATGCCTATTTTTAAAATATATATCTAATTTTTAAATGCTTTTTCATCATATTTTGTAGGGATTTAAAGTTCAACATATCAATACTTGATGAAAAATATCTGTTCCATGTTATGCCTAAGACGTTTGATATTCAGACACATAGTGAGATTAAGCTTAACAGCCTAGGTTGTATGGTAATAACAATAAGCTTCTCTTCTGGAGGGTAAACAACCTAAATTTGCAGAGCAAAATTAGAGAAAAGGGAGGGCCGCAAGGGAAGCCAACATTTTTTCCCTAGCCTTCCAAGGTCAATTAAGACTTAGGAGATATGAGAACTTGTACCTTAATGTCATGTAACTTGTTAGTGTCCCAAATTTTCTGATCTGGGAGATTATGGGGCCAAAGAGGAAAGTGATCGATGGTGCAGAGTGTGCTTAAGGAGAGTCACATGGAGAGAAAACATTCTCCCAGGCTTTCACAGAGAGCACATTGGCCAAGCAATGGCTGTGACTCATCCACATGGCTGACACTGACGAAGGTTCTACAATCTGAGGTACAGGATCTCAGGTAAATCCTGAGGGGATTTCACTGACCTTATCAGACCCAAAAGCTACAACTCTTGTTGCATAGGTCCTGCTTTACCTTGGTCTTAACCATCCAGCAGAAAAGTATAAAAACGAAGCATAGGAAGTAAAGCCATGCTGTTATGTTGAGCTATAGGGGACTCAGGTCAACAATTTCTGAGATTGCCAGTCAAGTGGAAGACCAAATACTATTATGGACTACTGGACTCTTTTAGAATATTTTGCTGAGCTTACACACCTATAATATTCAAATAACGGAACTTAACAAAAAGTGAATATAGATGAATATCCATTGTGTATCTGTGTATTCAAATGGTTAGGATATATAGTTGCATTCTTTTAATGAATAGAGAGATATGCTCTAATAGTGACTGTAAATAGGATATCAAGTCTGCATCTTGTACAGCAATTAACCACTAGGAAGAATGTATGGTATGTGTTAATCATTGAAACTGTGCTACCAATTTGGTTTGAAACTCTCTCATTGCTCTTTCTCAATATAATTATGGAAAAAAAAAAGAGTTAATACTATAGATTAAGGGATAAATGTTGCCTAGTAGGCATGGTGGCACATGCCTGTAATCCCACCTATTTGGAAAGTGAGACAGGAAGCTCTTACAAGCACAAGGCCAGCATAGGCAATTCAGCAAGAGTCTATCTTAAAATAGTAATTTTTATAAATGGCTGGGTATGTAGCTCAATCACTTCCTTTCTTGTTCAATCTTCCAGGTGAGAGAGAAGAACGGAAGAGGAGGAAGAGAGGGAGAGAAGGGAAGGGGGGGAGGGAAAGAGAGGGAGAGAGAGGAAGAGAGGGAGAGAGGGAGAAAGGGAGAGAGGGAGGGAAGGAGAGACGGGGAGAGAGAGAGATAGACATAGAGACAGAGAGACAGAAGAGGGAGAAAGTGGTAAATCACAAAAGAGAGAAGCATGTTTCAGAAAAGGAAGGCAATTTTGACAAAGGTCATGGTTGAGGACCAGGCAGATAGCTCAATGGATTAAAGTGCCTGCTTAGGCAGACACAAGACCCAGGTTTGATCCCTGGGCTGCCATGCTGGCCTTGCCCCTGGGGCACACTGAGATGGCAAATGAGACTGGGCATAGTGGCACACGCTTGCAATCCCAGCACTTGGGAGGCTGAAAAACAGGAGGATCACTATGTGTCAGATCTGGGTAGTGAGACCCTGTAGACCCTGTACTAAACACATTTGAAAAGAAAAGAAAAAGGCCAGGGTGACAACACAAGAAAACAGGGACAACTGATGGATCAAGGCCCCAGATATAAGAACATCAGTGAAGAGGTGGTGAATCTTACAAAGGAGCATTATTGGGCTGAGAGGTAGCTCACTGGTGGAGCCCTCACTTACTGTAGGCTTTCGTCACCAGTGATCCCTATCCACAAAAGGAGACTTATTCCTATGTGATAAGGAAGATACAGGAAAATGTGCTGGACAGATAAAGACACAAAGCCAGCGCTTCTAAACAAGAAGACAGTATGCTGCTTTAGTCTGGTAACTTGCTCACAAGTTAGCAACTTATACCTGGCAAGGGGTGTTAGCAAATAAAAGCAAGTAGGAATAAGTTCATTGCTAACTGGACTGTTCTAGAGTGGGTACACTATAGAAGAAAAATAAATAGATTTTTTTAAGCCTTTAAAAAGTACGTAAGGGGTAGGTAGAGATTGGTCAGTGCGTTAGGAGAACTGAGATAGTATTTGGAGAGACCATCTTGAAAAAATGACTAAACACAGGAATTTAACACAGCAGCCAATTTGATCCATTAATACACTTTCAATTAAAATACTCACCCAAATGCAGACAGGAAGGCACAATCATCGTGCAAAATACTTGCTACCCTTTCAAAAACTTTATAGTTGGCTGAATCTTTTTGCTCAAAAAATCCAATGATATTTCTTTTGCTGCGCTGTAAAATAAAAGTATCCAAATATTTTGCAGACATATATATATACATATATATATATATATATATATATATATATATATATATATATATATATATATATATATATATATATATTTCTATAAGCTTGTTAGCATGTTTACCACTTATTTTGGTTCCCACCTAGCTCCAGTATCATTCAATTATTTGTGACTGAAATGTAACTATAAATGCAGATTTAGATTTAAACACCTACTACAAAACTATTAAATATTACACTGAGTTGTAAACAAAATTAACTACAATAAAACTTAGCTTGCAGCATTTTAAAATTTCAATAAACTTATTTAACCAGTGAAAATTTTTTTCTAAAGGAAGCGACTAATTCTAAAATTTGCAAAACAACACATCAACTCATTACTTTTGACCATGTGCGGTTTCTTCCATAGTCCCTGATACTCCTCCTAATCATCTGACTGTATATATCAAAAAATGGTAGACCCTGTGACCACAGCCCACCTAAGCTATTTCTCAAGGCTGTGCGTGCAACAAGCAACACTGAGATATGAGGCCTGGTGTCTACTCAGGACAAAAGGCAGAGTTCTGGTTTGCTCTTAAATGGCAACTTCCTCAACCCCCAATGTTCCCCTTCTGTAACAGAACAGAAAGCATCATTCATCTGGGTCCTCTATTACCTCCATAGGATCTGGGAGGAAAGAAAACAAATGCAAGAATGGGCACAGTCTATAATATGAGCAATAAAGTCCTTTGTCTCTGACCCAAGATTCTTGTGTCTTCTGAGAGTATTTATGAAGTGTTTACTAGATAACTTACTGGCAAGTAAGTAAGGTAAAAATCACATCTCAAGTCTAACAGTAATAATCAGTGATAAAACTAAAACTCAACTGTTTTTGCTTTGTTATAGTGTGCTATTTTTAAGACACTGGATGTTATCAATATGATAAATTGTTAAAACTTTTTAAAAAATTTTACTGAAAGACATATTGACATTAATCCCTCCCCAATTAGTCTCCCTGTATTCAAACACTAATCTCATCACTGGTGCCACTGTCTGAAGCAGTTCTGAAAGTCGTCTTTTGTGTCTTTACGAAGAATGATGAAAAATACGGTGAATGCTGCTGCTGACTGACATTCACATATTTTATGTGCTCATAAAATATATTGCAGTGTGTCCCCATCCACATTATTCACTGGTTGGATACCAGGAGACATCTGGCTGCTCCCCAAAGTCAAAATGACTGTGACTTGTAAACAATGAGAATCAATTCAGGACATTGAGGCAGCCCAACTAAAGACATGGAAGAGCACAACTAAAAACATGAAGGAGGACTTTTAGAACTGCTATAGAAAGTGGCTAAAGCGGGCTGGCCAAATACCTCAGTGGATTAAAGCACCTGCAAGCAGGAGCAGGGGCCAAAGATTCGATTCCCAGGCCTGCTGTGCTGGCCCAATCCCGCTCTTGGGGTGCACAGCAATTGAGACTGGGCATGGTGGCACATGCCTATAATGCCAGCACTTGGGAAGCTGTAAACAGGAGAATTACTAGGAGTCCGATCTAGTAGTGAGACCCTGAACACTGTGTAGACCCTTCCCTAAAATATATATATATATATATATATATATATGGCTAAAGCAATGGATGAAGAGTGTTTGAAGAGGGGAATTAATAACAATATATATGTTTTTGTAGTAATTTTTACTTTTGAACATTCACTGTATTTTCCAATTCGATGTACTTAGTGTGCAAACAGTGGTTTGCTAAATTTATTGGCAAGATTATGTAGAGGACACTAAACCTTCCAAAAAAAAAGCTTATTAATGAGTAATTAAACAGACACTCTAAATGTTACCACTAAGGGAGATGTGGAAATTTTGGTTATGTATGCTTGATTTTAAGTTCTATTTATAATCCAGTCTTCCCTTTGTCCTCAATTAATTCAAATCTTTTCAATGTTACTTTATGCTACATATTTTACATAGTAAAACATCAGTATTTCCCTTGAAACTTCTTTCAAGAAAAATTCAACTCATTCAGTATGTACGTGTCAAATCTATTACAACAACCTGTAAGTGAATGTGCAGATTCTCTATATTAGAATTTGTTTGTATTCATTAAACAAGCAATGCCCCTTTGATCTATCCAAAGTTAACTTACATCAAGAGTAGTGATTTCTTCTAAGTTCAGCATTTCTTGAACGGGATCACTTTTTTGTTGCCTGATGTAATCTGCAAGTGCTTTCACTGATCGCTGACCCCTGTATTCTCTCTTCATCATCATCCCATTACGAAACAATTTGAGGGTTGGGTATTTGCTTATCCTGTATCTCTGGGCTATATCAGCTAAAAGAATAATTTTTAAAAATTAACTTATTTCATACTTGATCAAAGTTAGTGCATTATCTAAATAGGCAAAAAGCTGACAATTACTTAGTAAGGTAGTGAGATTTTTTTTTAAAAATCCATTTACTTTGGTTCATATCATTCTTTTTCACTGAGAGAACAAAAAAAACAAATCAGTCATGACCTAGTTAAAAGGCCAAGTTCTGGACTCTATTGCCTCAGTTTAAATCCTAAATTTTCTACTTACTGGCACTATGAACATATAAACCACATAAACTATCTGTGCCTTACTTTTCCATCTATTATAATAAGGATAATAATTTCTATTATATAAGACTGTTTCAAAGATTAAATGAGATAATGCAAATGCACAGCATAGTAAGTATGGTACATGAGTATCTGACTATAAAGATCAGCAATAATTACACCTTACCAGGAATGACACAAATTTACATATACAGCAATGACAATAGGAGCATATAAGCTCCAGGAAGGAGAGTAACCTGGAGGTAAATTATATTCTTCTCTAAGGCCTTTGTACCACCTGAGAATAAGTAAAAGAACTCACAACAGTTTCGCAAGTCAAGGTTATACTTTATTTGCTCCAGCTTAGCTGTCAGAGAACACAGTACTAAAGAGGTATTTTAGAGGTTAAGGATTCAATATGGCTTCTCAGAGAAAGAGTGGGAGAAAATTCTATATAATTAACCTTCCACAATGTTCTAGTGAACTCAATGGAAGATTAATGAAGAGGAAATCCTTACTGATTACAAAAATTCCTTAAACAGAAAGCAAATAATAATGAAGGAAATCACTGGTTATCCATGAGATTTAGAACAATGTTTTACTGAAAGCAATGTTTTATTGAACAAGTCTGAAATATTAACACATGATCATTTATATACACATATTTAACATAGACAATAATTTGTTTGGCATAGGACTTGAAGCTTTTCTAAAACAGATGATCAGTAGGTGTATCAGCTGGCTATCTTTCTTTTTCAACCTACTAGATTATAATGAGAGAGGTATGGCGATGAGGTGCCACAGCATGATGGGTTCTACCTCCTAAGCAAAGAACTGGTAAGCTTAGGATGCTACTACAAATTGGCACCATAACACATAGAAGACTTTTAAGTTACAAAGAGGCTCTGGTAATAAGGTAAAGGCCACCTCCTTCCACCATGCCAACCTGGCATGATGTTTCTGCTGTGGTACAGACCTACAAGCAAAGGAGCCAACTGACCACGAACTAAAACTTCTGATACTATGAAACACAATAAACTTTTTCCTTTTGGTTATTGTTAGGAATCTATTTTGTCACAGAAATAATGTAATATCCAAAGGATATAAAATCAGTGTGTCAAAAAAGCTATAATCCCACTTATGGCAGTATTATTCACAAAAGATATGAAATCAATTTAAATGTCCACTGTCAAATGAATGGCTAAAGAAAATATGCTACCTACATACAAACACTACTCATTCATAAAAGTAATAAAATTCAATCATTTCTTACAACTGAATAAAACCAAAGGACATTATGCTAAGTGAAATAAACGAGGCACAGAAAGACAATGCATGATCTCATTCATATGTGGAATCTTTTTTTAAAAAAGTACACAGAGTGGTTGGGTATTACATGTCTTCACCATAAAAATGGTAACTATGGGAGGTAGTACATCTGTGTTATGGTTTGTGTCTAGATGTCACCCCAAAGCCTCATGTAGTCACAGGATTTTTTTTTGGAGGTGGCTGCATCTTTAGTGTGCAATATTGTGATTACGGGTGCTAATTGCTGGATCACCCTGATCCAACCTACTGATTGGATTGGCATCATCCTAATTCCAAAAGGTAGGATAAAATAAAAGGGGCAGAAAGCCCCCCCCCCATGTTGCTTTGCTACATTCTGCCTGCCATGAACTACTGTCTATTGCCAGGCTACTCTGCCTTGGAGCTGGCCAATTACAGATGGAATTTCTATAAATTGTGAGCTAAATAAACCTTTTCTCCCTTAACTTTGGGCACTGGGTATTTTGTCTCAAAGGAGAGTAATTAAAACAACAATCTGCTAATTAGCTAGATTTAACCACTCAACAATATATGCTGCAAAACAACATGTTGTATATGATTCATTCAAAATATCGGTATTTTGAAAAAAATAAATGAAGTGATTAAAATCCTGTATTTGTAATATGAATTAGAAGTAATACCATAAACTTCGTGTGTAAGGAAATTGAACTCAGGCTCTGAAATATGTTAGGCCAGCACTCTACCACTGAGCTATATACTCAGCCTCATATAAACTTTTAGTGTGCTTTCCTGTTTCAAAAATGTACTTCTACTAAGCTTCTTACCTTCATGGCTATTATTAATAATTTAATGACAAGTAAGCATGAGAATTTAAATAAAATGGAAAACAGGTATTTTAATGAAAATATAATGTACCAAAACTGACACTGGGAAAAAAACAAAACAAAACACATAGTCCTAAAATTATTACAACAACTGAATTTATAATTCAAAGTCTCACACAAAAACTCCATTTCTAGGCTGGGGAGATAGCTTAGCAGTATAAGCGCCTGTCTGGCAAGCTCAAGGATCCAAGTTTGATCCCCAGTCTCACATATCATGCCAGCCCTGAAACCAGGCATGGTGGTGCATGCCTATAATCTCAGCACTGGGAAGGCTGAGACAGGAGGATCACTGAGTCTGAACTGCATAGGGAGACCCTGTAACAAATTAAACAAAAAACAAACAAAAAGTCCACTTCCACTAGTTTTATGAATTGAACATAGTATTTCTGAAAAAGAGAGAAAATAAGAAAAAGTATGTTAATGTCAACAACAGAGGCAAAACTATAAAAAAATTAATAAACAAAGACAGTACATCACAATTTAGCCTACCTTCACTTTAGAGTAATATTTGTAAACCAATGAATATAACTTACAACTTTAAAAGAAGAGAAAAATTCTATTATCCTAAAAGAAGCAGAAGAACATTTCATTAAATTCAATACCAAGTCATTCCTTAACACTCAGTAAAGCAACATTAAACTTTTCTTAATCTGGTAATGGATTTTAAATAAACAGCATACAGCTTAACAGTGAAACACCACTGATATTAAGAAAGAAATAAAAGCCAGCATCGTGGAGCATGCCTGTAATACCAGCATTCTAGTAGGCTGAAGTAGGATGATCACAAGTTTGAGACCTGCTCTGGCAACTTAGCAAGACTCTGTCTCAAAATAAAAAATAAAAAAGGCCTACAGACCTAACCCTGGGTTCAACCCCACCCCACCCTGGCCCCCAAAAAACAAACGAACAAAATGCAAGATGCCTGCTACCATATCTATATAAAACTACATTGGAGTTCTTCACATGGTAAGAAAAAAAAAAAAAAAGTACATACACTGGAAAAATTAAGAATGTCCTTATTTCCAGAGAGTTTTATTCAGTTCACAGAAAATCCAAGAGGGACTGACTCTTCAAGAAGATTGGTACTTTCTAAACAAGATACAAGAAGCAAAAATCTATTACCCCTACAACTAGGATAAACAGATTTTTTTTTTAACTCTACATTTTAAAGATGTAAGCTGCAATACAGGAAGAAGTAGGTGAAGCTGTGCATTGTCACTTGGGTTGGCATGGTAGACTGAAAAGGACTTCAAACACAAGGCAAGTTTCTCCAAAGAACATTTACTGAGTGTCGGGGGCTATCACTGAAAGCAGGATGAAGGAGATAAACAGACAATGAAATCTTCTTTGACCCTATGATTCTTAAAAGATACTAGCATTAGAAATGTACACTTGTCAAAAAGCCTGCAACCCTACATTAGGGCTACACATAGCCAAGATATAGTATCTGGCAGATTCTGAAGTTACAGGCCAAGATCTGGATGTGAAAGACAATGAATTGTTAAAGACAAACTACAAGAATGACTAGATACATGATTATATTCAGAATGCATAAAGAATTAGTGAAAGAAATGACCATCAAAACATATAAGCTCACCAGGTCCCCAAAATTTAAAGACCCAATCCAGAAATGGGCATCTGAGATGAACACATGCTTCTCAGAGGAAGAAATTAAACAAGCGAATAAATACATGAAAAAATGCTCCACATCGCTAGCCATTCGTGAAATG